TAAAACATGAGCTATTTACAAACTCTCCCTCAGCACTTCTTATGCTTACTACCTGGGGATCTGGCAGCTGAAAAATGAGAGTTCAGGAATTGACTCAGCTTTCTGCTCCTTCCAAATCCCAGCAGAAAGGGTCAGGTTTACAGGAGCCTTTTCAAGACCCTCCATACAAGCGAGCGTCACATTCTGTAGCTCCTGATCATTTACAGCCCAGAGGAAATTGGAGCCTGCCCTTCAGCTCAGCTGTTCCAAGCAGTGCTTCTCACATTGAAACTGAATGGGACGAATACTTTGTTAAGTTTTTGTTCCTGGAGGGCTTCCACCCCTGCCCCGAGTGGAGGAGCAGGCCTGCTGACAGCAATTTCGGGCTCCAGGGCCAGGGCCATCCCTAAGGGGGTGCAGGGCCCGGGGCAAAAGTGAAGTATCTGTCATTTCCGGGACTGACCCATCACTTCCGGGACCGACTGCGCTGGCCAATTGCGCCAGCATGCAGGGCCCCCCAAAACGCAGGTCCCGGAGCAGTTGCCCTGATTCGCCATACCCTAGGGACAGCTCTGCCCAGGGCAGAACAGTCAATGGGTCCCTAAATCTAGAAATTCAATCATTCTCACTAGAAAGATCCACCTGCCATTTGGGCGGTGCTGTGCTTGTGCTGGCTGGTGCCGAGTGAGCTGCTGCCGGCTCCGCCGCTGGGCGCGCTCTTCTGGCACAGCCAGGGCTTCCACATGCCCCGGCTGCCTTCGCCGCCGCTGGTTCCACTCCATGCGCACTGTGGCTGCGGCCAGGGGCCCCCAGGCCCTTTTAAATCGCCTGGGCCCCTGAGCAAATCCCCCCTTTGCCCTCCCCCCCAATCGATGGGCCTGTGGAGGAGCAAGTCTGACAGCAGCCCTAAAGCGACACATAGAAATAAAACACAATTCTAGTGAGAATGATTGAATTTCTAGATTTAGGGGGAAATGGAAATCTTCTCCTTGCCAAGATCTGAGACCAAGGTTCATGTTTCACCCACATCAACTCAACAGCACTGGGAATGGTGAATGTCTTGGGACCTCAGATCTCACTCGGTTTTTATACTGGAAATACTTTGCACTTCTCCTTAAGCACACAAACTGGAACAGGATAAGTATCAAATTCTGCTGCTGTCTGGATGTCCAGGCTTCATATAAAGATAGAAGGTTACCAGCACTATTCCTCAGGATTACAGGCAGAATGACGAGAGATGAGATTTTTCTCCATTAGGATCATAGACTATCAGGGTTGGAAGGGACCTCAGGAGGTCATCTAGTCTAACTCCCTGCTCAAAGCAGGACCAATCCCCAATTTTTGCCCCAGATCCCTAAATGGCCCCCTCAAGGATTGAACTCACAACCCTGGGTTTAGCAGGCCAATGCTCAAACCACTGAGCTATCCCTCCTCCTTAACATTTTAAGATCGCTTATCACTAGCAACAGGAATGTTCCTAGCTCCACAGATGCCTGCCTAGGGTCACATGGCAGGGCAAATACCTCGGGAGTGGAGACCAGTGGGGAGAACCCCCTGTGACGCCTGGGTGATCCAGCCCCTGCCTTCAGAGCAGTCTCCCTTCACTGCTAGTTCCTGGCTACAGAGGCTTGGCAGAATTCAAATTGTATTGTTCTCTTTTCGATTCATAATATTGAGTTTATCTTTCAACTTTTCTTAGATTTTTCGCTATTTAAATGTTCACCATTGTGGGAAATTATGGGGAGGTCAGACACTAATTATTTAATGACAGTAACGTTGAGGGGAAAGTTACAGCTTTGTGAGCGCTGCACAGTTACCTGCAGCTCCAGCTGCGCTAATGCCTGAGTCAGCTGTTTGAGCAGAACTGTCAAGCCGTGGGCCATGCAGCATTCATTGCTTCGCGCTTTATACACACCGAGGGGGGCACTAGTAAATTTTCAAGCAGCATTTTTCTTGTGTTGTCTATCTGTATGGGTTTTTATTATTATCGCTGGAACTATTTCTTGGTGGCTTTGCATGTGAGTGGAGAAATCGTCATTTACTGACATTTCCCAATAAAAATCTAATCCCTCTCAGTGTGAAGAGAGAAGAGATGTGAGGAACAGTATGGGAAGTTTTGGTGAGGATGCCAGCCCAATAATGACGTTGGCTGGACACAGCTGAGAAGCCTCAGCAAGACCCAACAACTTGGCTTTCTAAAAACAGGGTACTAATTGAACAGTAACCCAGTCCCTGTGCTGAAAAGGGCTCCCTCCTCACTAATTTAGCAGCTATTAATTGAAACCTTTGCACACCTCTCTCAAACACCCTTGACTGCCAACATGGAAGCAATTACAGGGTGTGCCAGATGGCACACCCCCACACGTGAAAAGGAGAGTAACACTGGGGCAGCTTTTCCAGCTAGCATCACAAAATAACGGCACATCCCAGCGTTCGCTGAGGAGACGGCAACCTGCATGCACGAAAAGTGCTGCCAAAGGGGTGGAGGAAAGTTGAGGTGCTGAGCCAGGAAACAGCTTTATTCCCCCTCCATGTGCTTCACCATCTCCCTGGCCACACTGAAGTGACATTTCCTTATTTCCTGTAATTCCAGCTGCTAGGGGCTGCCACATAGGGACTCCCCAGACTGGGTCTGCTGACTGGACAGTAAACTCTGGTGTGACGGAGCAGGGAAGAGTGTAGTGCATGCACAACTGAACATGGGGTGTCCCCCCCAACGGGCCTAGGTTTCACACACTCTTTTATGCCTTAACAAGAACATAAGAACGGCCATACTTGGTCAGACCAAAGGCCCAGTATCCTGTCCTCTGACAGTGGCCAATGGCAGGTGCCCCAAAGGGAATGAACAGACAGGTTATCATCAAGTGATCCATGCCCTGTCGCCCAATCCCAGCTTCTGGCAAACAGAGGCTAAGGACACCATTCCTGCCCATCCTGACTAATAGCCATTGATGGACCTATCTTCCAAGAATCTATCTAGCTCCGTTTTGAACCCCGTCATAGTATTGGCCTTCACAACACCCTCTGGCAAGGAGTTCCAGAGGTTGACAGTGCATTGCGCGAAAAAATACTTTCTTGTGTTTGTTTTAACCCTGCTACCTACTAATTTCATTTGGTGGCCCCTTGTTCTTGTATTATGAGAAGGAGTACATAACACTTCCTTATTTGCTTTCTCTATACCACTCATGATTTTATAGACCTCTATCATATCCCCCCTTAGTCGTCTCTTTTCCAAGCTGAAGAGTCCCAGTCTTATTAATCTTATTAATCATACAGAAGCTGTTTTATACCCCTAATAATTTTTGTTGCCCTTTCTGAACCTTTTCCAATTCCAATGTATCTTTTTTGAGATATCTATCTGCATGAGATATCTATCTGCATGCAGTATTCAAGGACTCTATCCATTGCTTATGAAGGGGGGTGCCTTGGGCTTCCTCCAGCCTGCTCCATCTGAGAGCAAGCGGCAGCTCTCCTTCATTGGCAAAACAGAGAAAACAACCCAAACGCTCTGTATCCAAACCCAGGGGAGAAGAGTGCCTGGTCTGGTGGGGTGTGATGGGCTGGGGTTGGCAACTGGACACAGAGACTTTCTTCTCTAGGTCACCAAGCCAAATCCAACACATGTCATCAGTGGGTGAGCATCTGAGAATACGGGGTGCAGCGTAGGGGACATGCTGGGAGAACATAGGGGACCTGCAGCTGAGAGCAAGGTAACATTGACAGGAAATGAAAATGTGGGTGCACCAGAGTTGGAGGCCCTTGGGAAAGGAGTCTCGGGTGTCAGTTCAGTCCCCACTGGACACGTGACCTCTCACAAAACTACCATCACAACTGGCACCAGTTGGCCCCTTTGCCGTCAGACTCAGCAGAGAAGCCAAGGATTCCTCCACACCCTTGACAGTAGATGGCTCCTGGAGCCAGGGCTCAGGCCCATAGGCTCCCTGTATAGCAGTGGCTCTCAAACCTTTTTACAGGTGACCCCTTTCACATAGCAAGCCTCTGAGAGTGACCCCCCCCCTTATAAATTAAAAACACTTTTTTATATATTTAACACCATTATAAATGCTGGAGGCAAAGTGGGATTTGGGTGGAGGTTGACAGCTCGTGACCCCCCGTGTAATAACCTCGCGACCCCCTGAGGGGTCCCCCAGTTTGAGAACCCCTGCTGTACAGGACCCATTCTGTGCAGACACCTTTCAGCAGTCTGGAGCTCCCTTCAAAAACTGCTTTTCCCTCTAACAATACTGTCAGCATCCGAAAACCCAGGAATAACACTAGCCCTGAACTCCCCTGCAGCACAAGGAGGCGGGCTCAGTGAGCCTTGCCAGAGCCTGCCACACTGACAGCTCTGCACTGGAAAGAGGAGGTACTCCTGAAGTGATGCTGCATTACCGACACATGTACACAGGGGCCTCAGCCAGGATCCCAGCATGCCTCTACTTTGCAAATCTACCGGATCCTCTTACTCTGAGCTGTGAAGAAGAGACAGAAGAGGGCAGAATGAGCCCATGTTTCCCAAAAGCAGCCATTTACTATATCAATCACAAACACCTCTGTGGAACTTAGTCCTTCAGCTGAAGAAACACAGACTTTTACCATAGGTGTCAACTCCTTTAGCTGCCGGTATTTAGCTGTGACACTCTGAGTTAGTTTCCCAGACCTGAAGGAGAGCTCTGTGTAAGCTCCAAAGCTTGTCTCTCTGACCAACAGAAGTTGGTCCAATGAAAGCAATTACCTCACCCTCCTTGTCTCTGTAGCAGCAAATATGTCCCTTACCTTCTCTGTAGGCCCAGCCGCTGGCAGGCAACATCATTCTCACACGCAGGAGGCTGCAGTCGCACCCCACGCCCACAGCACGCACAGCCAGCAGACACAAGATTTACAGTGAGGGAGCTTTGCATGAAGCACTGAAACCCTGAAGCAGCTTTGATTGTCTAAATCAGCACCAGGAGTCGACCCGCACTCTGGACACACCAGGCACTGAGTTGCCCAGGGTTGCTGCTGCGGGTGGGTTTACTCACTGATTTCCAGCTGCCTTTGAATCCTCCCTTTGCAGCGCTCCCTGTAGTCAGACTGGGTGGCATTGTACTCAGACATCACCTCCACAAACTTGCGCGACAATGTGGAATGCTGGAGAGAGAAGAGTAACAAAGAAAGTCACATTTTACTTAGTCCCATAGGGAGGGGGGCCATTCTCCATCAAGGCTTTTGTCAGGGTGAAGAAATTCACAGCTCTGAACCGCACATCACTAAAACTCCCCCACCCCACCTGGCATTTTCATCCCAGATAGAGTAACCCAGGTGACAACTGCACAGACATTCTACAGCTTCTGCAGAAATATCATCTGATGACATCAACCAGGTGGGGTTAAGGCAGCTTGTCATGAATATTTATCACCCTGAGTACAAACCTGATGATATTTTACCACCTGTCAAAGGAAAATATTTGCCCTGCGAGCAGAAAGTTTGGAAAGAGAAAACGTTCCTGGTTTAATTTAAATCTGAGAGCTACAATCAGCCGTTATTCCTGCCGTACTCAGGAAGATGCCCAGAGAAGTCACTGAGATTTGCTGAGCAGAAAGCTAAGCAAATTTCTCATGATCAGTGGCACCGGAGTCTGAGGGCTCTGTTCCCTGGAAGGACTGTTACTGAGGGGACACCTGTGAATCAGGACTGGAAGCAAGGCAGCCACTTGGACAAAGAGCCCTGCAGAAAGGATAATAAAACTCCACTTGCTCAATGTAACCTGCATACAGCCTCGCTCTTTGCTAACTCACAGCATCTGCAGCGCAGCAGCTGGTTGCGTGAGCCCTGGGACTGGGTCTGCAGCCCTGGGTTTTGCAGGCACAAACCTCGTCCAGCAACAGACCCGGTGGAAGGAGGAGTTTGAGCTGTGCACAGACCAGCCGTGCAGGATGATGCCACCAGCAGGAAAATAAAACAGTTATTTTACCTTATTGGGGAGCAAGGGAGAGAGGGCTGCACCCCTGGGGAGCTCAGCACTGCCTCAAGCCTCACAGCAGGCCTATGGCTCCCCAAAGCCCAATTAAACTGCGGAGCGATGCAGGTTCTTCACTTGAGACCAGTGCAGAGGGGAGGGGATAGAGCCCAGTGTCACTATACACAGGCTGCTCCATGCAATTTTGGGGACTTGACAGAGTACCTAATTCAGGCTAGTCTGCAGCACTTGGGGTCACCACCTGCAGGAGCAGCTGCTCTAGGAAGGCCATCTCACATTAGACGATGCTTAGTCCTGGGGCATGCAGTGTCAGCCTCAAGACAAAGAATGGAAGCCTGCCGAGGCATAACACATTGGAAGTACAGCATGTCATGTTTTTCTGGACCCAAACAGAAAAAGATGGCCACCCAGTAATGATGCAATCAGCCCACAAACCCCTAGAGACAATTCTGGCAAAGCCCCTTCTTAGGGCTCCAAAGAGATGGCAACGCATGCTGATGAACCTCCAGTGCTACAGATAGAGATCAGACATTGTCCAGGACAATTACTGGGGTTAGCTGACACCCTGAGCAGGGGATACACACCAGCATCCTCAAGATGGGGGAAGGGAATTAGGAGATGAATCTGGAATGCCCAGTTGAAAAGGGACCTGGGTGGGGCTGTTAAAAGTCTAGTTGGCAGTGCAGCAGGGCTAAGGCAGGCTCCCTGCCTGCCCTGGCTCCATGCAGCTCCCAGAAGCGGCTGGCATGTCTCTGCAGCACCTAGGTCCAGGGGCGATCAGGGAAGCTCCGTGCGCTGCCCCCGCCCCGAGCTCCACAGCTCCCACTGGCCAGGAATTGCGGCCAGTGGGAGCTGTAGGGGCAGCACCTGTGGGCAGTGCACAGAGCCCTCTGGCCCCTGCACCTAGGAGCTGGAGATGCCAGTTGCTTCCGGGAGCCACACGGAGCCAGGGCAGGCAGGAAGCCTGCCTTAGCCCCACTTCGCCACCAACTGGGAGCCGCCTGAGGTAAGCGCCACTCAGCTGGAGCCCGTACAGGGTGGAACCCCTTCCCGCACCCTAACTCTCTCCCGGAGCCCACACCCCGCCCTGTACCCCAACCCCCTGCCCCAGACCTGAGCCTCCTCCTGCACCCCAAATCCCTCGGCTCCAGCGTGGAGTCTCTCCTACACCCCAAACCCCTCATTCCCGGCCCCACCCCAGAGCCTGCACCCTCATCCAGAGCCCTCACCCCCTCCTGCACCCCAACACCCTGCCCCAGCCTGGAGCCTCCTCCCATGCCCTGAACCCCTAATTTCTGGCCCCATCCCACAGCCCACACTCCCTTCTGCACCGCAACCCCCTGCCACAGCCCAGTGAAAATGAGTAAGGGACAGGGAGAGCAAGCAACAGAGGGAGGAGGAATGGAGTGACTGGGAGCGGAGCCTTAGAGAAGGGGCGGGACAGGGGGCAGGGCAAGGGTGTTCAGTTTTGTGCAATTAGAAAGTTGGCAACCCTACCCAGTTTCAACTGCAAAGCTGATGGAAATCAACGAGGGTACAGCAAAGGACGTCCAACTACAGACAGTCCAGAAAGTGATCCTAGCAGAGAGGCTAGATAACAAAAACCAGTTACCTGCCGGAATAGAATCATAGAGGTTTTTAAGGCCCGGCTTGACAAAGCCCTGGCTGGGATGATTTAGTTGGGGATTGGTCCTGCTTTGAGCAGGGGTTTGGACTAGAGGACCTCCTGAGGTGTCTTCGAACCCTAATCTTCTATGATTCTATAATTTCAAATTAAAGATGAGCTGAGTGTGCAGGATGGAATTACACAAAGGGATTTGTGATGGGGTGTACCTGGCTCTTTGGTGCCCTCTGCTGGAGACCCTGCAGTCCTACTATGCTCCAGGAAGGAGCAGCGGAGGTGGGTCATAGAATCATCCACATCCCTTCTGTAGTGGGTGGGATCAAAACTGGACGCATGCTACTCGCATCTGCAGGTCCCACCCCCACAGCTCCCAATGGGAGCTGCAGCAGCCAGCGCTTGTGGCGGGAGCAGCGCACCCAGCCCCCTGACCCCTCCGCCACCTAGGATCTGCAGGTACATGGAGCTGTGTAGGGAGCCCCTGCCAGCCCTCTTCCCCCCGCCATCAGCAACAGTGGGGTCCCCCGAGCCACCTCCCCCCACACCTGCAGCACGCCCAGACCACCCCCCCCCCCAGAGCACCGGCCTTCCCCCACCCAAGTTTTAGTCGTGGGTATTTTTAGTAAAAGTTATGGACAGGTTGTTTACTGCCTGTGACCTGTCCTTGACTTTTACTAAAAATACCCGTGACTAAAGCGCAGCCTTACTCATTGTGAATGAAACAAGGATCTCCAAAACGGGCCACAATGTGTATGTAACAATGAACGTTCGAAGCTCATTGCAGAGCTTGGCCAATAGGTGGCACTGCTGGCCCTAGAGCTAGACTGGACCCTCAAGAGCAGTGGTTTTCAAACTTTTTTTCTGGTGACCCAGTTGAAGAAAATTGTTGATGCCTGCGACCCACCCAGCTGGGGATGAGGAGTTTGGGGTGTGGGAGGGGCTCAGGGCTGGGGCAGAGGGTTGGGGTGCAGGGGTGAGGGCTGTGGGGTGGGGCTCGTAATGAGGGGTTCAGGGTGTAGGAGGGGGCTCAGGGCAGGGGGGTTGGGGTGCGGGACGGGGTCAGGGCTCTGGGCTGGGGGTGCAGGCTCTGGGGTGGAGCTGGGGATGAGGGGTTTGCGGTGCAGGAGGGGACTCTGGGTTTGGGGGTGGCTCAGGGCTGGGGCAGGGGATTGGGGTGTGTGGGGTGAGGGCTCGGCTGAGGGTGAAGGCTCCATGGACCCCCTGCCTAGGAGCCAGATCTGCTGCTGGCCGCTTCCGGGGCGCAGCACGGTGTCAGAACAGGCAGGGACTAGCCTGCCTTAGCTGGGCAGCACCCCCGACTGGACTTTTAATGGCCTGGTGGGCCGTGTTGATCAGAGCCGCCACAACCCAGTGCCTTATGTTCCGTGACCCAGTTCTGGGTTGCGACTGGCAGTTTGAAAACCATTGCTCAAGACGAATGCTTGTGGTCCTCCTGGGCCACTGGGTTAAGAGGAATGTGCGTATTTGAGCAGCCAGTGAAAATGTGTTTTCTGAAGAGCTCCCTGCTTTTTTTAGAGGGGCATCCTTGAGTCAGCCCATTGCTGTGGGGAGGTGTAAGGGGGCGTTGTCTCCTCAAGCCTACAAGTTAATTGTTTTAGCTCCAAATTCCTAATTCATTTCCTAATGCTGATTATAACGTTTATGAGCACCAGCAAGACAACTGGGTATAACCTGCCCCGTGCTCACTTAGCCTGAGATGCTTGTGATGAAGTCAGCTTATCATGGGACCTGGAGCTGTGCTGAGGGGAACCCCAGGAAGGCAAGGCAAGGTTTGAAGCAGGGGGACCTGCCCCATCTCATGCCCTGAGGGGCTGTTCAGTCAATGTCATGCTCCCTATTTAGGAGGAGCAGTCCCAACTTTTCTCTTATGAAATCTCTAATTTTTGCACACTGTCCCTCTCAACTGCGCTATCAGGCCTATCTATCATGGAGTTCAAGAGCTGCAAAGTCTCTGTGTGTAGCTCTCCAGTGCGGGTGGATATGGGAGAGTTACAATTTATGCAGAATGCTTGGTTTATGCTGAATCTTTGCAGCTCCCCTGTAACACCAGCTCTAGTTCACAGCACAGCCCATGGAAAGAATGACTGACTCAGTGTTTCCTTTCTAACAGACCCTCCAGCTCTGTTTATCATTGAGGCCCAGGGGACGCTTTGCTGGAGCACACCATGATGACTATGGCCTTAAATGTTTTAACTGTTCTCCATTCAGCTGGTGAACAGGGACTGTTCTCCAAGAACTCAGCTGCCTCTCAGATTCACAGGCCCACAGCAGAACAGAACACTATGATCTTGATGTCTTCCTTTCCATTTAACAGGGAAGTGCTCCAGAAAATCTGTGAATAACAATTAACAAGACCCAAGTGGAATACAGACACTGACCACAGCTGGGTGCTCAATGCAGAGCTCATTGACTGTGATTTGTGGTGTGTGCTAAGGGGTCATGCAGGAATGCAGGCTCTGGGATCCGGCTCAGTACCTGATTTAGGCCTGCTCTACACTACGAGTTTATGTTGGATTTAGCAGCGTTAAA